GCGGGGGGGGGGGGGGGAACAGTGCGGAGGCTGACTAAAATACATTTTTGTTGGGTGCTAGTGAGATATTGAAAAAAATGATATTTGGCAGAGATAAGATAGTCCAGCAGAGCCAGAGTAAGATAATTCAGACTGAGAGTCCACGTGTGATTAAAATATAACGTTTTTCCTACATTCTAGCATGGGAAGGGTAACTGGGATGAAAATAACAACAGAGCTAAATCGGCTACATCCTTACTCTACAAAGACAAAACTAGAAGAGAGGAGAGTATGGCTGCTCTTCTTGTTCTTCAGAACACCAAACAAAGACGGGGAGAGAAGCCATAAAATGGTAATATACCTTGACACTTTAGTCCAAATCAAATTCCTGGATCAGGGAGAAAATTCCCGGGCTTTCTACATCTAAAGAACATTGGTTACATGAGAAAAATGTGACTTCCTGTAACATTTAACCCCAGATATACTGAGTGTTTTCAACTTGTAATACCCAACACTTTTGCATCTTAACTTTCCAAGTAGCCGATATTTACTTCAGCGGTAGATAGAAATATAGAATCATAGAGTTGGGATGGTCCTCCAGGGTCATCTAGTCCAACCCCCTCCACAGTGCAGGAAATTCACAAATACCTCCCCCCACACACACCGCAGTGACCCCTGTTCTATGCCCAGAAGATGACAAAAATCCTCCAGGATCTCCAGTCAAACTGGCCTGGAGGAAAATCGCTTCCTGTCCCCAAAGTGGCGATTACCATTTCCCTGGGCATGTAAGAAAGGGCCACGAGAACTAAGCTCTAACTAAGAGAACTAAGTTGGAATCCAAGTCTTATGAGGAAAGGCTGAAAGAGTTGGGTCTGTTTAGCCTGGGAAAGAGAAGGCTTAGAGGGGACACGATTGCAGTCTTCAAGTATTTGAAGGGCTGTCACATAGAAGATGGAGCAGATCTATTCTCTCTTGCTCCGGATTGCAAGACTAGATCTAATGGGTGGAAATTACAAGGGAGTCGTTACCGGCTAAATATCAGGAGAAACTTCCTAACTGTAAGAGTGGTTGAGCAGTGGAACAGTCTGCCTCAGGAGGTGGTGGATGCTCCTTTGCTGGAGGTTTTCAAGCGGAGGCTGGACAACCATCTTTTGGGTATGTTGTAGGCATGTAGGGCTATCTTTCAGCTATGCTCCTGCAGAGTGCAGGGGGTTGGACTAGATGACCTGCAAGGTCCCTTCCAACTCTAACATTCTATGATTCTATGATAACCCTTCCTGCCCTCCCTAAGTTAACAGAATCAGCATTGCTGTCAGGTGGCCATCTAGCCTCTGTTTGAAAACCTCCAAAGGAGGAGAGCCCACCGCCTCCCGAGGGAGCCTGTTCCACTGAGGAACCGCTCTGTCAGGAAGTTCTTCCTCACATTCAGCCGAAAACTCTTCTGATTTAATTTCAACCCGTTGGTTCTGGTCCGACCTTGGGCCACAGAACACAACTCCATGCCATCCTCTATAGGACAGCCCTTCAAATACTTGAAGACGGCTCTCATATCACCTCTAAGTCGTCTCCCCTCCAGGCTAAACATACCCAGTTCCTTCAGCCTTTCCTCACAGGACTTGGTCTCCAGTTTCTCTGCTGCCCGTGCTGCCCGTTCAGGGGAGAATAAACCCCTCTGCCATTCCTCATTCTGTCATCCTCAGGATGAAAAGAACAGCCGGGGGGTATGCCATCTTGTTGGATCAGATGAGTGGTCGGTATAATTCAGCATCTTCCCTCACACAGGGGCCAGCCAGTTCCTCTGAAGGGCCAACAACAGGGCAGAGAGGCCGAGGCCTTCTCCTGTTGTTGCCTCCTGGCTCTGGGATTCACAGGTTTAGTGCCTCTGAATGTGGAGGTTCACCTCGGTCACCATGACTAGTAGCCATTAACAGACTTATCTCTCGAATCCCCTTTTCAAGCTGTTTATTCCTGTGGCCATCACGACATCCTCTGGCAGCCAATTCCACATTTTAATCACTCTCTTCTCTAAAGTAGTCTTTCCTGTTGTCCGTCTTGTGAACCTACTACCCATCAGCTTCATTGGATGCCCTTCAGTTCTAGCATTTTGGGAGAGGGAGTTCTAGTATTTCGGGAGAGGGAGAAAATTTTCTCTTTGTCCCCTCTCTTTCCGTCCATGCATAATTTTGTAAATTTTTATAGAATTTTCAGTGGCGAACTGCTGCCGCAACTGCAAAATGCTCCGGTTATGTTCTCGGTAGACTGCTCATAGACATGCCTGTTTGCTCATTTGACCATTCGTCTTCCGCTTTGCTGTCTGAGCCTGAGCAGAAGACAGTTTTTATTAAAGCCGGAGGAGGGGGAGGAAGAGGAGGAGGAGGAGGAGATCCCACATCCAGAGAGCTATTGTTGGTGTGAATCACACTGATGTAGTAGGTCCACCAGTGCTTTGGCCTGCTGCCCCGGGGGCCTTTGCGTTGCTGATGTACCAGCACTGAATGCCACTGCCCTTCCTGATAGAACATGATCAAGGAACATTGCAGCAGTTAAAACTGGGACACCTGCGAGCGCACGCGGTGCTTGGGAATTGGGGCGCCTACAGGCCCAGGGAATTGGGGCGCCTGCAGCCCCAGGGTTTGTTAACTGGGGTACCTGCAGGCATGCAGTGCTTGTGAACTGGGCACCTGCGGGCATGTGGTGCTTGTTGTTGGGATTCTTAATTCAAGGTCGATGGTTGTATTGCAAACACAGAGCCACACTTAGTAAAAGAAAAAAATATCTTTACTATAAAAACAAAATAAAACATGGGTATGGTACTTTGGATAAAAGAAATAAAATAAAAGGTTACATACTTAGTTACTCCCAGTAATATATGCTAACAGCTACATCTTTCTATCTGTCTTGGCTTCTAGAAGAGGACTACCGCTTTGGTTCACACAAAGGGCCATAAAACTTGTGAACACATTAATGCTAGATCAAAGCATTTCTACAAACAAGATGTTAGTTGATCAATACAAAGGTTACAGGTCACTTCATTAGGATAAACAACTCCCACAAACTTTCCCGCCGTTGAAGACATTATGTAACGTACCATGGAAAGTAGCTGAGAGGAGCACCAAAATTGTTTTAATGAGGATGTAACTTAATATTTTGTATTGTTATTGTTTTATCTGGGAAATATGCCTTGTAAGCCGCCCTGAGCCTCCGGGGAGGGCGGGATAGAAATGTGAATAATAAATAAATAAATAAATCCTGTTTGCTAACAAACAACATTTAACTCTGTAATGGCTGAAGTGTAAGCAACTTGTGCTGGTGAACTGGGCACCTGCGGGCATGTGGTGCTTGTTAACTGGGGCACTTGCAGGTATGCTGTTTTTTTGAACTGGGCACCCGCGGGCACTTGTTCATAGTTCTGGCAGTGGCTGTGTTGGTGGCCCTGATAATAGGCTCCTCAGGAACACCATCTATAGGGTAGCGGGTCAGAAACGTGGCTCTAAAGAGATGACTGAAACAAAGGGTTGATTGGTGCATCAGGACATTGAGGCAATGGACTACCAAGAACACGAGCCTTGTCGTGATCCAGTTGATAAGACAGTTGCCAAAGGTTGAACCTTCTCTTCTTTCTTTTTGTCTCCTTTAGGATTTAGTGTCTAGAGAGGAAGGTCAGGAGGGCGTCCGCGATGGCCCCCAGGAAAAGAAGTGGGCGAGGGATTTCGTTCATCTTCTGCTGCTTCCGAAGCAACGACCATCCGGAGATCACGTACCGGCTGCGCAATGACAGCAGCTTCGCCTTGCAGACCATGGAGCCGGCCTTTCCCATGCCTCCGGTGGAAGAACTGGACGTCATGTTCAGCGAGCTCGTGGTGAGTAATGGCGGTGTGTCGTGGCGGCGGCTTTCCCCCCCCAGCCTGGTCTCACGGAGGCAGGTTGGATATTTGCACCTTGCTTTCGAGGACAAAGATCACAGGCCCTTAACTACTTTGGCAAAACTTTCTATGTGACATAAGAACATCAGAGAAGCCAACGTTGGCTCAGGCCAATGGCCCATCCAGTCCAACACTCTGTGTCACACAGAGGCCAAAAATGTCAGGTGCCGTCAGGAGGTCCAGCAGTGGGGCCAGGATGCTAGAAGCCCTCCCACTGTTGACCCCCTCCCAAGCACCAAGAAGACAGAGCATCCCTTGCCCCAGACCGAGAATTCCTATCTATACCTTGTGACTAATAGCCACTGATGGAGCTCTGCTCCATGTGTTTATCCAATTCCCTCTTGAAGCTGTCCATGCTTGTAGCCGCCACCACCTCCTGTGGCAGTGAATCCCATGTGTTAATCACTCTTTGGGTGAAGAAGTACTTTTTTTATCCGTTCTAACCCGACTGCTCAGCAATTTCATTGAGTGCCCATGAGTTCTAGTATTGTGAGAAAGGGAGAAAAGTACTTCTTTCTCGACCTGCTCTGTCCCATGCATGATCTTGTAAACCTCGATCACGTCACCCCTCAGTCGTCGTTGTGGAGCACATCTATGCGCTTGATAGTCTGACATAAAACATAACAGCACTTAAAACTCAATGGGAGATCCATTTTAATCTTCCGGGACTTCCCATCACTGACCCAAGAGTGGCAGTCATCAAACAGAGAAACTTCAAGGGGAGACAGACGGGATAAAAATAGAATAAAATAAATAAATAAATAAATAAGATTACGATGTGAGACAGCCGAACTTGAGTTCATTCGCAAACTCAGTACAACGGCCCCCTCCTCCCACGTGGCTGAACAGGGACACAGAGCCAGCGTGGTGCAGGGGTCAGAGTGTCGGACTAGGACCCGGGAGACCCAGGTTCGAATCTGCCGTGGAAGCTGGCTGGGTGACCTTGGGCCAGTCCCACACTCTCAGCCCTAAGCGACCTCACAGGGCTGTTGTGAGCATACAGTGGAGGAGAGGAAAACAATGTAAGGTGCTCTGGGCCCCCACTCGGAAGTAAGGTGGGAAATAAATATTCTTTCTGCCCCAAACCGTTTCTTCCCTTCTCTAATCAAACTGGTTACAGTTTTTGCATTGTACCATTGCATCCTTTTTAAAATCCTTTTGTGTGTGGGTAGATGCGTGCCTGGAAGTCATGCTTGACTTCTGGCGACCCCTAGTGGGGCTTGGATGTTTCAGAGAGGTGGTTTGCTGTGGCCTGCCTCTGCGTCCAGGCCCTGGTATTCCTTGGAGGTCTCCCGTCCAAGTACTTGCCAGGGTCAAGCTGTCTATTCCTGTGGCCATCATGACATCCTCTGGCAGCGAATCCCACATTTTAATCACTCTCTGCGTAAAGTAGTATTTCCTTTTGTCTGTCCTACTGCCCATCAGCTTCATTGGATGCCCCCGAGTTCTAGTATTTTGGGAGAGGGAGGAAAATTTCACTTTGTCAACTCTTTCCACCCCATGCATAATTTTATAAACCTCTATCATGTCCAATGTTCCCACTAATCCCCCCCCCCCGAGCAAAGCAGTTCACATTCTGAGCAGAATATAACTGCTGTAGTCTTCAAATGGACAATGGGCCGTGCAAGACGCTTTGCGGCTCCAGATTGCTGCTGAGCAGGGCTTCCTGTGTTAATGAGCGACCGCTCACGCACACAGCTTAGAGGAGAACACTGCTACCATGAACAAAGGAGGTTTGGCCGCACGCCTGTGCTGGATCCGAAATCTTAACCCACAATTTTCATTCTTCTGCACTGACTGAACAGGGATCCCGGCTTCTTCGTGCTCATTGTTTGCGACGGTTGTTACGGAGACGCTCTCACTCAGTAAGGAAAACTCCCACCCAAATATTCTTCCCTCCACCCCCATGTTTTCTAACCATATCTGTGTCTTTGATTAGTCAGAGACACTGTCTCGCCCACTCTCTTAGGCTGCTATTCTGGAAGTCTAGCGTGTCCCTTTGTCTCCAGCATGTTGCTTGATTTGTCTCGGGTTTTCTTTTCCCAGCCTCATGAACAGGAGAATAGTGGCAGAATTCCTCTTGCTGTTGGTTTGGGTAATACAGGTGGGCAGGCCAGAGGGTCAGACTGGTGCAGTGCCAAGGAATACTGGACCAGGAAGGGTTGCCGTTCAGGGATCGATTGAATTGCCTAAGGCAGGTCACTAGCTTTCGTCCTGAGAGAGGGGCTGTGGTTCAGTGGTAGAGCATCTGCTTGGCATGCAGAAGGTCCCAGGTTCAATCCCCAGCATCTCCAATTCAAGGATCAGGTAGTAGGTGATGTGAAAGACCTCCACCTGAGACCCTGGAGAGCCACTGCCAGTCACAGTACAGTGACAAGGGTGACTTGGATGGACCAAGGGTCTGATTCAGCATAAGGCAGCTTTGTGTGTGTTCGTGTGTGTGTACACCGCATTGGTCAGGCCGCACCTGGAGTCGTGTGTGCAGTTCTGGAGGCCTCACTTCAACAAGGATGTGGACAGAATGGAGCGGGTGCAGAGGAGAGAGATGAGGAGGATCAGTGGCCTGGAGACCAAGCCCTGTGAGGAAAGGCTGAGGGACTTGGGGATGTTCAGTCTGGAGAAGAGGAGGCTGAGGGGGGACAGGATGGCTCTCTTGAGAGCCAGTTTGGTGCAGTGGTTAAGTGTGCGGACTTTAATCTGGGAGAACTGGGTTTGATTCCCCACGCCTCCACTTGCACCTGGCTGGATGACCTTGGGCAAGCCGTAGTTCTGTCAGAACTGTTCTCTCAAGGACAGTTCTGGAAAGAGCTCTCTCATCCCCACCTACCTCCCAGGGTGTCTGTTGTGGGGAGGGGAAGGGAAGGGAGTTTGTAAGCCGCTCTGAGACTCCCGAGTGAAGGGCGGGGTATAAATCCAATCGCCTCCTCCTCCTCCTCCTCTTCCTCCTCCTTCTCTCTTGAAGTATTTGAAGGGCTGTCGCTTAGAGGAGGGCAGGCAGCTGTTCCTGTTGGCAGCGGAGGAGAGGACTCACAAGAATGGGTTTAAATTAAGGGCGGGAAGGTACCGGCTGGATCTTAGGGAAAACTTTCTTACAGTAAGAGTAGTTTAGCAGTGGAATCAGCTGCTTAGGGTGGACTGATGCAATAGAATAATGTCGGAGTCCAGTGGCACATCTAAGGCCAACAAAGTTTAATTCTGGGTATAAGCTTTCGTGTGCAGGCACATTTTGTTTCGTTTGTTTTTTGTATTTATTTTTGTTTGTATTTTTATACGTGCATGTGTGTGTGAGTGTATGTGTGCATGCACCTGGAAGTCATGGCGACCTCTGGCGACTGACTGTGCGAGCACCTGGAAGTCATGGCGACCTCTGGTGACTGACTGTGTGCACACCTGGAAGTCATGGCGACCACTGGCGAATGACTGTGTGTGCACCTGGAAGTCATGGCGACCTCTGGCGACTGACTGTGCGAGCACCTGGAAGTCATGGCGACCTCTGGCGACTGACTGTGTGCGCACCTGGAAGTCATGGCGACCTCTGGTGACTGACTGTGCACGCACCTGGAAGTCATGGCGACCTCTGGTGACTGACTGTGCGCGCACCTGGAAGTCATGGCGACCTCTGGTGACTGACCACTACTGGGGGCCTGGAGGATATTCAGAGAGGTGGCTGAATGAAGCCCGCCCCTGCCTCCTGCCTCTGGTATTCCAAGGAGGTCTCCCCTCCAAGTAATTGCCAGAGTCGACCCTGCTTAGGTTCCAAGATCTGACGAGATCGGGCTGGCCTCGGCTATCCAGGTCAGGGCGACCCCGTGGGGTTTCCAAGGCAAGAGATGTTCAGAGGTGGTTTGCCATCGCCTGTTTTTGGGTAGGGACCCCAGACTTCCTTGGTGGTCTCTTCTCTAAGCAGTAAACATGGCCGATCGTATTTAGCTTCAGAAATCCACAGGGTTTTCAGAGCAAGAGGCATTCAGAGGTGGTCTTGCCATTGCCTGCCTCCGCGTCACGACCTTTGTATTCCTTGGTGGTCTCCCTTCCAAATCCTGACCAGGGCCAATCCTGCTTGAAAACCCCACGGGGTCGCCATAAGTCGGCTGCAGCTTGTTGGGACTTTCCGCGACCGCCGTCCCCTTTGGCACCCTGACCGTCTCGTGAGTTTTGTGCCTCATTATTCGTTAAAGAGCTTGGACGGCGTCCCACAGTCGCTTTGTAAATAGGCCGTGCAACATTTGGAAGAGGGTCAGAAAAAGAAGCCCGCTTTGTTGAGTTTCTACTACTAACTCCTGGCACCAGTGGCACAGCGACTGACTTTGTATTGCTTGGCACCTCTAAGGGGCTTTTGCTTTTACATGGGAGGAAAAACACACTCCGGTCATTTTAGCTTCCAGGGGACATTCAAGGTTTGATTTGATCTAGAACCCGCTTATTTGGCTGCTTGGCAATCCGTAGAACTCTCCTCCAAGACCACATTTCAAAGGAATCGACTTTCTTCCTGTCCGCTTTCTTCATTGCCCAATTTACATACCCTCCTGCCAACCTAGCCATTCGAAAGCAAGACATTGCAAGTAGATAAATAGGCACCGCTTCAGTGGGAAGGTAACAGCGTTCCGTGAGCCTTGGTGTTTAGTCATGCCGGCCGCATGACCACGGAAACGTCTCCAGACAGCGCTGACTCTTCGGCTTGGAAACGGAGATGAGCACCGCTCCCTAGTGTCGGACTCGACTGGCTTTCGAGCAAGAGAAACCTTTACCTTTATGTGGTGGTGGGGAATATTATGGTATGGATCATCTTGATCTTGGTGGCCAGGAACACATCTTTACACTTAAGGATCTTTTTCTAGCTCCTTCATGGCTTCCCTTCCGAGTACCTCACAAAATGGGAATGGGTTTTTCCTGCTGGAGCGGATGGCGTTTTCAAAATCTGCCATGAATTTTGTTAA